TTAGTTTTTACACAGTGATTTCAATATCCACTGATGTTTCTTGCCTGAATTATTACTACAACAGTTGTTAAATGATTATTTTCTTAAATTTTTTTTAATGTTTATTTATTTTGAAGGAAAGAAAGAGACAGAGTGTGAGCAGGGGAGGGGCATAGAGAGAGGGAGACATAAAATCTGCAGAAGATTCCAGGCTCTGAACTGTCAGCATGGAGCCTGACACAGGGCTCGAACTCACAAACCATGAGATCGTGACCTGAGCTGAAGTTGGACGCTTAACCGACTGAGCCACCCAGCACTCTGATGATTTTCTAATTCCATCATTCCTTTTTCCTTTTATTATTTGACATTTTGTTCCATGACAGAGCTGTCTCTTCTTCCATTTATTTATTCATTTATGTATACCATTGGGGATTCCTGTTTTACTTAATGGGTTATGATGCTTTGCCGTCAGGATTTATTTTGATGTTATATTGTCTCAGATTTAGCCAACAGGAGCCCTTGTAAGCCAGCTTTTGTGTCCTGTCATTTCTTCAGGCACAAGATGTTTCAGGCTTATCTTGTTCTTTTTCTGCCCCAACTCTGGAATCTACCATTTTCTCCAAGGGGCATCAGTTGCTTTTAATGGAGAACAGTATTTAGAAATCAAGAGCTGAGAGCTAGATAAGCTCTTTGCTCTGGGGTGTCTTTGCTCTCAGGTCCTTGAAATGGGCAGACCCAGGAAATCTATGTTTGTTATGCTTACGTGTACACACATACACACATCTATATTTACTCTGATAAAGGTCTCCATATATTGAAAAGCAGGAATTTATCCTAATACCTTCCAATTCTCCTTCAGAACTACAGGGTTTGTTCTGATTTTTCTCTTTCCTTGTTTTTTAATCTCTCTTCTCCAGCCGTGAGAAATCTGACTCCCATTATCTTCAACATATTTATTTACTCAGTTCTCTTTTGTGTGGCCAATCTCTCAACCTCCTTGGCCACCGCCCCCCTCAGACGCCCTTCTTGTGTGGACTTTGACCCCTGTGAGGCTGCAACCCTGCACAGATGACCTCGTACTGCCTCTGGACTGCCTTCCTATCCTGTCCTTTTTCCTCATGTAAGCACTGGCTGCAGGAAAAAAGGTCTAATTTTAAATGTTGGCCAAGTGATTCACGTTAAAAAAAAAAAAGTGTGAGGGTTAATCAGAACTTGAATAGTAGGCCGGTGGGACCGCTGGTCTAGAGTATACGAGGGACATGTTGGAAGATGGTGACCAGAGATGAACATGGTCTTTTGAATAGGGAGTTTGGTGAGAAGTGTTGTATCTTCCTGGCTTAGTAGGAAGGATGAGCACACACACCTACATGGCCTTCTATATTCCCCATCAGGCTAAGTGAAATAGAGAGTGTAACCTTTGGCTCTTTTGATAACTTTCCATTGGGCTTATGTTTTGTTTTTGTTTTTGTTTTCCTTTTCTCTAATTCTTACTTCTTACTGCTTCTTATGCTCTTTAGAAGCCTACTTTGGGACACTAATACTCTTGTCCTGGCTGGAGTTGAGAATATAAATTCCTCAGTGAGAAGGAAGATTAGGAGGAAAAAAAAAATTAATTTTTTAGAGATGCAGTCCTATTGAAAAAAGGGGTGTAGAAATGACAGATGTGTGGAATACCAGGTTACTCAACCACCAGGCTTTTGCCAGGCTTTTCTCGTTGACCGAGTTAGATCAGGTGCTCCTATCGAGAAGAGATGAAAACCCTCTTTCTCTGAAGCAGAACCGTTTCTCTCCCTCTCAGTCATTATTCTTTTGGGGGAGAGGATGGCAGGAGGTCTGTCACTGTGAGGTAACGTCTGGAGGAGGCGGGCAGGCTCTGTGGGGCCGCATGGGTCCTCGATGCATTTCAGAAGGATCCAGAGAATGGTGGTCTCCTGCTAGACTGGAGAATGTCTACAGAAGGAAAATTGGAATACATAGGCAAGGTCTGCTCACCATGGAGTGGTGTGGTTAGAAGTTAGGTGATAACTACTGGAAGTTTCTGAGAAAAATCAGAGGTCCTTCTCACACACAGACACACACTGGTCATCAAACCCTTGTTCCGCAGCCATACATGCCTGCTCAACATTTTCTCTTTGTCCACATCCTTCTTCCTGTCCTCATGTTTGTTTATTTTAATTTGGGGGGTTTTTTGGGGTTGTTTTTCACTTTTCTTTCTTTGGCTTTTGTATATTTCTAGTACAGGGAATTAGGAAGCAGAGAGAGTGGGTGGGTGAGAAGAACTAGAGAAGAGGAAAATTTTTAAATGCTGCCCTTTAATGTGGTAAAAATTCACGTTGACTTCATAGTCTGAGTAAGCATATGTAAATAATTTGTAAATCATATGAAAATAAACTTGTGGCCTTCCAGGATTTTTTTTCACACACTTGGATATGCCTCTTGGGAAAACCACTTTAGTGAGGGGTGATACGTTTCTAGTGGTATGTAAACAGGGGTTGATATTTACCATAACCATTCGACTCGAGTGTCTTTTTGTTGATGTTGAGCATCACTGGAAAGTTTTCTCTTTCCCTGGTTACTTCCTTCAGAGGCATGTATATTTTATACTTTGGTCTTCTTTTGACAATAGTCCAGGATATCAGATTGCTGCTCTGTTTTCAGTGGGCTCCATGTTTAATCCCTCTGTCTTTTGCCTTCATTCCAAATTCAGGAATTAGTCTTCTACACTCTGCTCATAGTTACACTGTTCTGTAGACCTAGGCTTTGTGTGCTGTTAATGTCGCCACTATTGTTTTCTTAAAATGAACTTTATAGATCGGTTCTGTTATTTCTACGGACGTGTGTTTTAAGTCTATCATTCTGCTCTTGTTTTATTCTTTTGGCTTAATTATTTTCCATAGTATGCTACAGTGCTGGCGCTGTGTAGGCACCCCATAGGTGTGTCTTGACCAGCTAGCGCTCTGTCCTCTGCAGCATCCTGTACACAATTTCCCAGGCCTGAGTAACTCTATTTTCATTTTTCATCCTTCCTGTTTGTCTAAGGTTCTGTAAGAGAAGCAGCATCTTGCGGTTAAGAACATGTGTTGTGGAGTCAGTGTGATTGGGGGGGGGGGGTTGATATGATATTTATGAATCTATTGAAGTTGTTTTCTTTGAACTTAACATTACGTATGGAAATGCAACACATTATTATTACAACAGCCAGATTTGCAAACAGCAATATTGTGGGTGAGAAAATAACTCAATTTAGGGAGAAATGATTGTTTCAACATTTAACTGGATATATAGGGGACAATAACATTGTGACTCAGAGCATGGGTTTTTGAATTAGACAGCCTTGATTTTGATACTGGCTGTGCTCTTTCTTCTTTCTGTCTGTCTTTTTGAGTTTTAATTTAAATTCTGGCTAATTAACGTATGGTATAATATTAGTTCCAGGTGGACAATATAGTGATTCAGCACTTCCATACATCTCCTGGTGCTCATCACAAGCGCACTCCTTAATCTCTCTCTCTCTCTCTTTTTTCCCTTAGCTGTACAAAAGCTTTTTGTTTTGATGAAGTCCCAATAGTTTATTTTTGCTTTTGTTTCTTTTGCCTCAGGAGACATAGCTAGAAGTTCCTATGACTCATGTCAAAGAAATTAGAGCCTGTGTTCTCTTCTAGGATTTTTATGGCTTCAGGTCTCACATTTAGGTCTTTCATCCATTTTGCATTTATTTATGTGGTGTAAGAAAGATGGTCCAGTTTCATTCTCCATGTTGCTGTCCAGTTTTCCCAACAGTTTGTCGAAGAGACTTATTTCTATTGGATATTCTTTCCTGCTTTGACCATGTTATTGTGGATTTATTTTTAGGTTTTGTATTCTGTTCCGTTGATCTATGTGCCTGCTTTTGTGCCAGTACCATACTGTTTTGATGATTATAACTTTGTAATAGAGCTTGAAGTCTGAAATTGTGATGCCTCCAGCTTGGCTTTTCTTTTTTAGGATTTTGCTTTGGCTACTTGGGGGCTTTTGTGGTTCCATACAAATTTTAGAATTGTTTGTTCTAGCTCTGTGAAAACTACTGGTCATATTTTGATAGGGATTGCATTAAAATGTGTAGGTTGCTTTGGGTAGTATAGACATTTTAATAATATTTGTTCTTCCAATCCATGAGCATGAGATGTCTTTCCATTTCTTTGTGTCCTCTTCAGATCTTTCATAGTTTTATAGTTTTCACAGTACAGGTCTTTCACCTTTTTGATTAAGTTTATTCCTAGGTATCTTACTGTTTTTGCTTTAATTGTAAATGGGATTGATTCCTTAGTTTCTCTTTGCTGCTTCATTATTGGTGTGTAGAATTCTTTGCAATAGACTTCTGTTTGTTGATTTTGTATCCTGTGACTTTACTGAATTTGGTGATCAGTTCTAGCAGTTTTTGGGTGGAGCCTTTCAGGTTTTCTGTATGTAGTATCATGTCATTTGCAAGTAGCGGAAGTTTGGCTTCTTCCTTGCTGATTTGGATGCCTTTTATTTGTGTTGTCTGATTGCTGAGGCTAGGACTTCTAGTACTAGGTTGAAAAAAAGTGGTGAGAATGGACATCCCTGTCTTGTTACTGACTATAGAGGAAAAGCTCTCAGTTTTTCCGCACTGAGGGTGATTATTAGCTGTGGGTCTTTCATATATCGCCTTTATTATGTTGAGGTATGTTTCCTCTAAACCTACTTTGTTGAGGGCTTGTATCACGAATGGATGTTATACATAATATGATTTTGGACAAGTTACTTAATCTTTCCAGGTTATATTTTAGTTTTTATGTCTACTCTAAAAATGAGATATAATATTACCTACTTCAGAGAATTGCTTTAAGGAATGAACTACATATTATATATGAAACACCATGGGAGTGGGCACTTATTCAGCACTCACTATCTGTTACTGATGTCACACTCCTTTTATTAGTATCACACTGATCCTGAGTTGGAGCCTGTATTTCCTTGAACCTCTATTCCTGGCATTTAACTTGTGTCCTTTCTATCAGGTTTGCAACTGTGCGATATGATCAAGGAGCCAAGAACATTCGGAACCAGTTCATGCACCTGACAAACTACAGTGTGAATAAGAAGAGTGGGGACTATGTCAGGTACTGGCTGCAGGTGAACCAGGTGCCATGGCAGGTCCTGGAGATGTGGAAAGTCAACTTGTCGCACTCCGTTTATCTCCATGGAACTTAATGGGAAGCTGTCAGTTGTTTAGCACAGTTTTGAGGCATATCTGCTGTTGCTTCTTCATTGCTTGCCCAGTTATAGTGTCCCCTTTCTCTACTAAAATATGCCTTCCCACGTTTCGTCTTCATTGTCTTTCCTCACTTAACTTATGGGTGGGAATTTAATAGGCATATGGAACTTTTTAGAAATCAAGAAATGAGGTCATTTCAGTACTTGGCAAAATGTATCAAAAGCTTAAAAAATATTGGTATCCTTTGACCCAGCATTTCCATTTCTAGGAACTTAACGTTAAGAAATAATAAGAGATGTGTGCACAGGGTCAGAGAGAAGAATGTTCATGACTATACATTGTCAGGTGGAAAAAGCAGGTTACCAGATGCTACTTGACGTTTATTTTTTGAGTCTATAAGATGACTAAAGCTGTTATTTTTGTTGAGGGGGAGAAAATGTAAACTTGGAGGATATATACCAAAAGGTTAACAGGGCTTAACTATAGTGGATGAGATTATGGGTGGGTGACTTCTGTCTTCTTCTCTGCCCTTCTGTGTATTTCCTAAATTTTTTCTAAAATAAATACTTGTATGATCAGGGGGAAGAAAAGTTAGGAATAAATTAAATGAATAAAGAAATGAGGCCATCTCAGAGAACGATCCAGTGGAAGGGAGTACCAGCCCAGCTGTGTGGAAATATCCCTCTGCTCTGTTTTCTTTCATCCTGATAATTTTGCCAGAAAGTGGAAAATAAAAAAGAAACCCAAACAGTTACTTTCTACTCAAACTAAAAATAGGTGTCTAGAAAGTCCAAGGAAAGAAAGAAAAGAATCTGGAAGTAATGGCCTAGTTGCCAAGGCTATATAGATTCCATGGCGTGTCCTGGGACCAGAGTTTGGAATTGAAGATCCTCTGTCCTTCACCCTGGAAGATGAGCAGACATGCACCTGGTGGGTGGTGGGACGGTGTTAGGGAATAAGGGGGCATCTGCAAAACACAGTGTCCAGGCGGCAGGACCTTACCAGTGGGCATGGCAGCATACCCACTTCGGCAGTCTGCTGCTTTGGTGGTGGGGCACCTCATAGCTTTTTTTGTTGCTCTCGTGCATTCTCCCATCAGCGATACCTCAGAGGGTGTCCAAAAGAGTTGTACCTCCCACTAAAGAGGAGAGAGCTCGCTTCAGATGCTAAAGCAGTTCCGTGCTAAGTTAGCTCCTTAAAATGTTGTACCACATGACCTCACTAGCCAACCGAGACTCAGTGCTGATCTGAAAAGGGCATTGGAAGTTGTTTTGTGGGCTCATGTGACATTTACCTCAAAGACTAGGTTAGTATCTCTGAACATTTCACCCTATTAATGTATTGTGGCCACTCTTAAATTGCGGACATTCTTTCACACATTGCTTCCACTCATGATACATTATAATTGTTTGCTTAAGGAAGGATTTGCTGCCTTTTTCCTACCCACCCCTCCCCCCCCAGAAAGGAAGCTATATGCATTTTCATTAAAAAAAAAAATCATTGGTCGAAAGATATGTATGACGGAGGGACCAAGAAAAGTTGCCGAGGGGAGGTCAGCAAAGGGAATGTTTTCCTAAATATTAAAAGGAGAAGTTTTTGTAAAAAATCTGGTTTCTACAGCCAGGCTTATTTGTGTAAGTGATCTTGATCCATTCCTTTGTTTTAGTTGTGATGACCCAGAAGTGGAGGATTATGGGAACAAGTGGAGCATGAGTGCCATGCTTAGGTATCTGAAACAAGAAGGCAGAGATACAACTGGTGAGTACCAGGCCTTTTCCCTTTGTGACCTCCCTTCTTCTCTGTACAACCTCACTTTGCCTCTCAGCACACATCGTTCTCTCTAATTCTGGTCGTGTCGCTGAGACTTCTGACGGGGTCGTTGTTCTTGATGTTAAAGCCTGTCCTTTACAAGATGGAAAACAGGCTCTCTGTGACCCCCGCCCCAAATCCCTTTTCTTGTTTCTAGTTTGGAAGGCACAACTTTGTCCTTTAACCTTTAGTGAATTTATCCTTCTTGAATGTTGAGCTGCAAACTGAAATACTGTCTCCATATTGGCCCTGAGTTCAAATTTTTCAAGGTTAATCTGTCTCACTCATGTTGTTGAATTGGAGAATGAACAGCATCGAGTATGAATACAGGGCTTAGAATCAAAATGGACACTACTGGCTGAGCCTTGAACAGAATGGGAAACAGTGTGCAAAAAGGCTTAGCTCAGTCCACAAAGGCAAGGGCGATAGGAGAAGGCTGAGAAGGGGGAAGTAAGGCTTCTTTTCCTTTCTATGTCTGTCTTTTGTCATAGGATGCCACTTCAGTACAACCTCTGCACCCACATTCTTGACTGTGTCGCCTTATTCATAGATAATGCCTTCTCCTGGAGTACCTATTTGCAAGACCACTACCTGGAGACGTTTTGGAATGAGCACATGCACTTTTATAATCACACTGTGTTCCAGAATACAGTCTTTCTTTTCCATACATTATAGTGTCTCTTCCTTCTTCCTTTTCTTCTGTTTCTTCTTCTCCTGCTGCTGCTGCTGCTGCTTCTTTTTTTTTTTTTTTCTGTAGCACTGATGGCCCATGTGGAAGACCTGATTATTAAGACTATCATCTCTGCTGAACTAGCTATTGCTACAGCCTGTAAAACCTTTGTTCCTCACCGCAGCAGTTGTTTTGGTAAGGAGGCTCACAAAGCTTGATACGTTGTGTGCAAAGGGGCCTGGGAAGTCGGGAGGGGGTCCCAGGGTAGAGAGGCTTAGTGATTCTACAGAAGTAAGAAGTGTGTGTGGCGAGTGTTTCTTTCTAACCTCAGGTAGCATGTGAAGGCCCTACTAAGAGGCCAGAGGGGAGCTCAGCTGGAGGTCCCCTAAGGACTCACTAGCTTTCTGTGCGGGAAACAAGGACTGGAACCAAAGTGTGGGTCTCTCTGTCAGCGTGCAATCAGAAAAAGCCTGCAATGGACGGTACAGGAATCCAGCTCTAACAAATATATTCCAGAGCTCTTTGGCAGCCAGACTGGGAACCGTTCCAAGAAGCTCTGGCTGGTACCAGTATGTGCTTTCTCCCACTTTCCAATGACTCCTCCTTTTTGTTTTAGTCTTCTTTCTAGGGGGGTTTCTGCCCCCCTCCCTACGTTTTCCTCCTCTTCCTCCCTCCCTTCCCTTTTTTCCTACCCTTAACTCCCTGATTGCACAGAGAAGGAGTAAGAAACAGTTCACAGCTCCTGGAGCGGGAAGCCTGTTGCCTGCTGACCCACTGGCTGTGACTGGCACTGAGACTGCGTGCACACATTTGTCTCCTGTGCGGATGTGAACTCTGTAGCGATGGCCAGTGTGTCTGTAAAGTCAACAAGGCTTTCAGCAGGTGTTAGGCTTTGTTAGTAACGCACATTAGGGTTGTTGCTGGGGTGATGATTAAAGTAATACAGTAGTAAGGATATAAGAGTCATGCCTTGCTTGGGAGGCAGGGTCACAGGAAAGGAAAGAACAGACTTTAGAGGTTGACAGAGTTCGCATGAAAGCCATTTGCGCCCCTTACTTGTTTTCCCCTTTTCAGCAAGTTACTCCAGTCCTGTTTCCTCCATTCTAAAGTTGCAGTTACGATGATACCTACCTCCCAAGGATACCAGGAAGATCAAAGGAGATAATGTGTGCAAAGCACGCAGCCCAGTGTCCAGTCCTCAATTTGCATTCAGTAGAAATTATTTCTTTGTTATTTTTGTAACTAGAATGAATAATTCTTGAACTCTTTCATGGATTATAATAACAGTCTGTACTCAAGGGGCACAAAACAGAGGGAGGTGTTAAGACCATGAGCAGAATACCGTAGATAAACCAAGACCTGAAATTATATAGGAAAAGAAGAGGTCGTGATACCTTTTCTAAGTACAGACGCGTTCATGTTTTCTTAAAACCCTTATGTGGCTCTTTAGGGTTAACTAGTCAATAGAAACTTGATGTGACTTCAAGGCTTTTAAGTACCTGACCACAGCTGAATTTTCTGGAATTCAGTTGCTCCTCTTAACACCTTATAGTCCAGCTCTACCACTGAACACTCCATACCTTTGTGCCTTGGTATCACTTCCGCGGGCCTGTCTGCCTGGCAAGTTCTTGTTCATATTCTCAGACTCAGCGTGACATTGCCTCTTCTAGGAACCGTCAACACAGTGCCCCATTGTGCCTCCTCTCCATGCTGTTCTGTTGTGCTCTTTTCCTCTCATATTGTGACGTTTTGTTTACATATGCACTTCCCCGCCCGCCCCCCCCCCAACGTAGTCTCCGAGCTTAACTTGTCATTGGTCAGTAGTCACTGTGTCTCCCTTCCCCTCATGTCCTCTTATTGCCAAACCAAACCTTTCACTGTCTCCCTGGGCCTGCCAGGTCCTCACCTTCGCCTCTACTTTGCACCTGCTTTATGCTGCACCAGAAATAGTTTTCTCCTGTTACTTTACTTAATGGATTACTACCATCTTTTCAAGACCAAGTATCATATCTGTGGGGAAGTTTTTCCTAAGTGTTCCAGTCAAAGTTAGCCCCCTCAACCCCAAGCTTCCCATGGGTCATCTGCAGTGGTACCTGGCTGTCATCTGGTACCCATTTATGTGTCTGTCTCCCCTCCTGGACTAGAAGCTCCTTGCAGGCAGCAATGGGGTCTCCCTAGTTTCTGCACCTCTTGTGCATAGTGGTGGGGTTGTTTTGTTTTGTTTTGTTTTGCTCTTAGAAGATGTTCAAGAAATATTTGTTGAACCTTGGTACTTGCTTTAATTGCCTTTTGGTGGCCTGATAGTAGGCTTCTCAATAGATCTGGTTTGGTAAGGGCCTAGAGCTCTTGGTGTTATTGTAAACTGCGTGAGGAAGGGGTGCATAGAACATACCTTCAAACTTTGAAAACCTCATTGGATTAAAAAACTAAGGTTTCTTTTCCACATTGACTTGGCTCTTATATGAAGGTAAATTTCTTCATATAAAAATCTTTGTTCTTTTTGAACAAACTCTCTTTGAGGATTTCCGGAACTTAATGGCCATAGAGATTCCGATATGAAATAAGCATCGACTTTCCCTGACTCAGTGAAATACCCCTAAGTCCATTTCATCTTCTGTGGGTCTCCTTTCCCCTCCCTGCTTTTATTCTTTAATAAAGAGAGTGCATCTGGAGTTTTTTAAGTTGTTGACTGTCTTCTTGGCTTTTGTGGTTCTAAGTCCACTTCCTGTTGGCCCTGGGATTTATGTGCTTCGTTAACCTCCCCCCGTCAGGTATGGTTTTGTATATGTGCGTTTATTTGTGTGAGTCCCTCTGGCTCCCACTTACTCCTACTAATTTCCCTTGGGATTTAAGTTATAAGGAATAAAACTGTTTTTTCTTTCTTTCTTTCTTATGTGTTTTAGAGTAAACATGAATTGAGAGCTTCCTGGAAGAAATTGGCTTGCATAGAGCATTGGTTGCTTTTAGAGGAAACCAGTAGCCCAGTGATGGAGTTCACTATATTCTTTTGGTTGTTTCGCCTTTATCCATTATGGATGTTGGCCAGGAGCATTCCAGTACTATCTGTTTCTGTCTCATGATTTCGTTCCAGCTCCACCACCTGTAATGCCCAACTGTGCTTTTAGGTACTTCCAATATTCCCATTCATTTGTTTATTTATGCGTTTAACTTATTTTCAATCCCTGCTCTGTGCAAGGCATAGATTACAAGCATTTATTCCTCTCAAGCCAGATTTTACATGGCATGACATATACATATACCTGCATTATATGATTGACATTTCAACGTAGACTTGGCAACCTTCCTAAACTACCTGAAACTTAGCCACGTAATGCCTTCTCATAGATTTGTACATCTGGAAAGGACCCCAGAGAATCATCAGTCCATATAATGGAGTTGAGGCCTGAGAAACTAAGACCCTTGCCCTCAGTTCCAGGGCCCACAGGTGGAAGAGCCCACACGAAAGAGACCTGGCCTGGAGGGCAGGGGCCCACAAGATGGTTGGCAGGCAGGTCGCCTTGATCAGTGTAGTCTTGATTTATAGAGTTTTGATGCCCCTCCCTATAAAATAGATTGCTGGCAATGGAATTTTTACTTCTTTCAAGATTGTTAAAATATGGTACCATGTGAAATATATGTGTAAACAGCAACCCTTTAAATATGCTTAGGAAACTGGCACTGTGGCATAACTGGCAAGGAAAATGGCTTTTTTGACCAGTTGGAGAAAACCAGCCAAAAGCAACAGGATGTTAGCTGTCCTTTGCAGATGCTGCTGCTGACAGCAGTTTTATCTATGTGTGTGAGGATGGCTGAAGTGACAGCCTCAGACCCTGGTCCTCTCCAGCCTGGGATCCTCTGAGCCAGCTGCGCATGCCACTGTAGAGCTGATGAGGCTGGCTTGGTTTAGGTCAGAGACCAGTAACATCTTTGCTCAGGACAGTCCATGCGCAGTACACCTCTTTGTTGAATGAATGATGCTTGCTTGGCCTTTCATTGCTGCTGTTTTAGACCATTCACAGAGTAACCTGACATTCTCAAAGGGTGGGTGTCTGTAAATATTTGTTGAAGGAAGGAGAGTGGGCAGCATACATTCCTCAATTATGTAAACTACTTGATCACTACCAACGAAATCATAGTGAAGGTCAGTAAATAGTTCACTTTTTGAGAGAGTCTCCCTTCTGGTTTATCCCATGCTGCTGTTCAGGTGGGAAAAGTTACTGTAGAAAGTAACTTGTCAAGCACTTTTCCTTGTTACTCCCTTTAGCCCTCTTAAAAGAGTTTCGTTGGTATTTATTACCCATGTTTTATAACAAGGAAAAAAGATTTGGAAAGGTCAAATAATGTATCCTAGGTCATGCAGTTAACAAACGGCCAAGCCAAGTTTAGAAGCCAGGTCTCTTTGGCCCTTTCTTCACTCACATAAAGACAAGTTCTGATGAGCCCGGCCACTTTTGGCCTGCCCCATATCCTGGATTCTCCTTCTGCTCTCCTGTAACTAGATCTCAGGAAAAATGATATCATTCTTTCTAGCAGATCAGGCCTGAAAAAGGCACTCTTTCGGCTCTAATCAGCAGTCCTGGATTCTAGATACTCGTTTCAAACCTACCTTTACATGTGGTAGCCAGATACCGTATTGACTTATTGGACTAGTTAACAAATTGGCTCTGGGCTTTTTCTTTTATTTAGTTCATTTTCCTGTGGGATCTTGATCTGTTTTTTTCCAAATTCTCCTTCTGGATCCCAGATAAAGACTTCCTCCTTAGGTTTGCAATTCAAATCCGAAGCCAAGGAGAAAAGAATTTCCTTTATACAATAGCATTTGACTGGCAGTGCGGGCTGGCTAATGTCAGCACTTTCCACTGCCTCGGGTGACAGCTCCAGCTGGGAGGGTTAGTGGATTGATTTCACAATTAGTGGTGTGCCATGTTTAGTCATCTGTTAGGCCTTGGATGCGCTCGTAATTTCTCTATCAAATCTTTTTTCTCCCTCCCTTCCTAGACCACCTTTTATCAAGTTTTTTCTTAATATGTCTTAATATGTAGAAACCTTAATAAGAATGTTTCTGTCTTTACGGTTGGTAGCTTTCTTAGGAATATTTCAAGTCTTGTGGCCAGGGTTATTTTGGGGGAGTAGCTGCAAATTATTTTGTCTTTTTCAAAAATTCTACTCCTGAAGCCAGGACTACACCCTATGTTAACTGACTTGAATTTAAATTAAAAAAATAAGAAATAAAAAATTTTAATGTCAAAATAAAAAAATTGTACAGTGCTTTTCACTTACTTTTTTTCCTTCTCTTTTCTTTTTCTTTCGGTATTTCTTGACTGCTTCTTACTTAGGTGCCTTTTATGGTGCAGGCTGCTTGTAGTGTTAACGATGGATGAGAAATGGCCCTGCCCTTGGGCTGTGGGGAGGAACAGGCTGGAGATGACAAAGACAGTACCAGTAGTAGGGTGACTCTGATGCTCGAGGAATGCACGGGAGCTATCAGCAATGCCTAGGGGAAGCCGGGGAAAGCCAGTTTGTGAACCGGGAAGTTCCGTGTGACTGGCTACAGCCTGCATGGGCTGGGGCGGCAGGACATGAGGGCAGATTGGAGCCCCGTGATAGAGGACTGACACGTGCAAATTCCTCCCGGAGACAGCAGCCAGCCACTGGGGTTTTTGAGCAGGAGAGCAATAAGATGATTATTACTCTCTTTAACTTCTATCATGATTTGACCCAAAGCTTGGGAGGACAGAATTACAACAAAGGGAATAGTGTACAGCATGACTAGAAATGACTAATTTAAAATCCTACAAGCACCACCTGACGTCAAGTGTCTGTCGCTGGACCAGTTCACAGCCTATCTCTATCTGACTGTTAGATTTAGGTCTTAGAAATTCTGATGGGTCGGGGCGCCTGGATGGCTTAGTTAGTTAAGTGTCCGACTTTTGCTTAGGTCATGATCTCGCGGTTCGTGGGTTCGAGCCCCGTGTCGGGCTCTGTGCTGACTGCCAGCTCAGAGGCTGGAGCCTGTTTCAGTCTGTGANGGGCTCTGTGCTGACTGCCAGCTCAGAGGCTGGAGCCTGTTTCAGTCTGTGACTCCCTCTCTCTCTGACCCTCCCCTGCTCACGCTGTCTCTCTCTCTCCTAGAAATAAATAAAACATTAAAAAAAAAAATAAGAAATTCCACTGGGCACATGGAGAATGGACTGCAGCGGGGAGAGGCTAGTCCTAGGGAAATGAATGGGAGGGAAGAAGTGTGGGGAGATAAGGTACACTTACCACGTGATCCAGCAGTCCCACTTGTAGGTCTTTACCCAAGACAAATAATGTTATATGTTCACACAGATACCTGGATATGAAGGTTTATAGCACCTTTATTCATAACCGCCAAAAGTTGGAAGTGGCCCAGATGTCCATGAACTGTTGAATGGATAAACAAGCTGTGGTATATCTGTAACATGAAATCCTACACAGCAGTAAAAGGAATGAACTACACTGTTGCTATGTAAAAACATAGATAAATCTCAAAAGCACGATGCTAAGTGAAAGAAGCCGCTCTCAAAGGCTCATCTGTATGATTTCATTTATTTGACTTCCTGGAAAAGGCAGAGATCAGATAGATCAGTGGTCGCTGGGGGGATAGGGAGTGAGAATTGACTAGAAGGGGGCACCAGGAGCGTCTGTGGTAGAATTGTTCTATATCTTAATTGTGGTGGTTACATGACTACATACATTTGTCAAAACTCATCAAACTACAATTTAAGAGGGTGAATTTCATTGTATGTAGGTTATACAATAATTTTATCATTTCTATAAACTTGTTTTAAAACCCAAAACAATAGGTGGATGAACCTCAAAAGTGCCAGTTGAAAGAAGTCAGAACCACTATGCTTCCATTTATATGCCATTCTAGAATGGACAATGAATCTGTGGTGAAAGAGATAAGCATAGTGATTATCTGGGGGTGTGATGAGAGGAAGCAGGGCATTTACCAGGAAAGGGCATGAGGGATCTTTCTGAGGGATGGAAATGTTCTCTGTGGGTTGATACGAGTGTGGGTTACATGGATGTGTCTGGTTATCAAGCCTCATCGGGTTACACTTAAGATCTGTCTCTTTCATTATATGTAAATTATATTTCAAAAGAGAATATAGAAAACTGGATTAAAGAGAAATAGAGAAGAGGTCTGGCAATGTGTAGATTTTGGGAGGTGGCAAAGAGTGTTTCTAGCTTTGGAGACTGGTGGATCGGGCTACCATTTTCCAAGGTGAAGAAAAATAGGAAGCCAAGTAGGTTTGGGGGAAAGATAACGAGTTATGTTTTGTTGAGTGTTGGAATACTCATGGGCTATCCTAGTGAAGTTGTGTAGCAGGCAATTGTAGAATTACGGATTTGGTGTCCAGGACACACTTGACTAAAGATCTATTTTTGAATGTCATCATCATGATGTTAATTGCAGCCATGAGAATACATGAGATCGAAGAGAAGTAGAATTGAGAAGGAAAGAGCCCTGAGAATGCCACCCTGAGCAAACCTACCAGTGAATAGCTGGGCAGAAGAGAAGGAGTAAAAGAGGAGAAGAGTCAGAAGAGAGCAGTGCCTGGAACCAAGGGAGAAGAAAGTTCTAATAACTAAGGGGTGGTCAACAGTTTCAGATGTTTGGGCTTAGCAGTAAGGTGGTCTTTGTCGATCACAGTGAGGACAGTCACTGCTTTAGAGAATGGGAGCAAAAGCAAATTCTGATGGCTTGGGGAATGAATAGGCATTAAGAAGGTCAAGACAGCTAAGTGTAGGTTGCTTTTTCAGGAAGCTGCATTCAAGAAATAGGGAGATACGGGCACAAATGTGAAGTCATGGTGGAGTCAAGCTGCTTCTTACTAGTCACTAGTATAATTTTCAAGTTTGTTTTGATTTGGTTGGGAGCTCAAGAGAATGCATCTCATGAAAGGAAATTTTCCTAAGGAAACTTTGTTGAACGAAGTGGTAGCAACAGTCCTTTGAAGAAAACACTGGCTCTTCTGTCATGATGAGGACAGCACAGAGGAACAAAGAAAGTAGCTCTCGGAATTGGAAAAGCCTCGCCTGCCCACACCCGTTAATGACACGAACTCTTGGTATAGATATCTCATCCTGGACACTGAATTTTTGAAATTCTAGACCCTGCTGCTAAAGCACACAGTATTCAAAGGTGAAGTTTAATATTCTCAGTACAGCATACTTCTTACCTTTTACAGTCTTTCGTGTCCATAGAGAAGGCCGATCATAAGTTAAAAGGGTCATTATGAGGACTTTTGTAGTCTGCCTAGAACCAAAATTATTTTTCTTAAGTGGAGTTGATGATTTGAAGCGATAAACCTGATACAAACGCTCTCTTTTCACTCCATTTACCACCCTTACCCACCCCTCCCAGTTCCAGCTCCTTAGGTGAGCTGGGCTTTGCACTGTGTTGGAATGCCACCACATACTTACCCTGCTTTGAAAGGGTAGTAGATCCAAGCCTTGTTGCGTGTATGGGCGCCGTTAGATCCAAAACTGATTTTGCGATTTTTTAGCACTGACAGGCTTCACTCACCTGGGGAAACATACAGCATGCACTGTAAAGGGTGTCTTCTCTATTTGAGTTATTTTATTTTTTCTTACTTCCCAGAATGTTGGTTTTCAGCGTTTCTGCTGGGATTCTTGGACTGCGCCTCTTAATTCGGGAAATAGTTAAGTAAACATGTTGGCTGTTTAATGCAAGGTGTCTAAATAACGGGTCTTATCGATTCTCATTCAGATTTCAGTTTGTCTTCGTTTGTGGTTCATTCTGCAAATCTGGTCGACATGTGCATCAAGCATTCTTACTGTGTTTCCTCGTGCCATTATTATTAATAATATTAGCATTTTATGAAACAGTTGAATCCTGTGCTCCTACTTGTGTGATGTTAACATAGATTTGTAGATTTTGCAATTAAGTCTTCCTTTTTCAGTGTCTTAGTGCTATATCACAAAAGACTTTTTTTTTTTTTTCAGATTAAAAGGGGAATATTCTGTGGGATGATTGAAGATTAGGTAAAATATTCAGAAGAACATACTGGCCATGAAAGATTCATTCGTGGCAGCTTTTCCTGAGAGGAAGAATTCAAATATGATTGTCTACCTGAGTCTGTACTGTACAAATAGGGATTCTGGATTTAGGTTTAAAGAGCACACAGGTATTGACAGATGATGATTAATAGAGAAGATCAAGGGGTGAAACGATGGGCAAGAAAAATCAGAGACCGAAATGACTTCTCCAGGCTCCACGGTGAATAAATGGTAGAGTCCTGAGAAGGATCCAGGTCTCCAGATTCCTCTTCTAAGATTCTTGGTCCCATATCAGATTTTCTGTGTTCAAGACAGCCTGTGGCACCATCTTTTTAGAACTTTACATTTATTTTTCTGTGTTTTTTGAGAGTATTGAGAAATGGGAACATCCTTTTTGAAGTAAAGACATTTGTTTCAAAATGAGTGTCTGGAAGATACCTGGGTGTGTTCTGTAGATGTGAGCTGTGGCCCGTGACCTCTGACCAAGCTGTAAGGAAGCTCATCTTTTCCCTTGGAAAGAAGATGTGGATTGTTTGAGGGACACAGAGTAGGAGATTCGAGAATGAGTGGGACTTTTGAAAGTCAGATATATTTCATATATGTATACCAAAGAGGACTGTGGAGAAGGTTTCATTAATAACAGTAACAGTACAGGCTGCCAGCTGAGGTTCCAAAGTTAGTGTCCTATTATCCCTGCGTCCTGGGAGAGAAGGCTCTTGCTTTGCCTGTTGCAGCAGTTGAGTTAGGGAAGAGAATCAGTAAGGAACCAGAAACCATGGAAACTTGGTCTCTGGCCCCCTCCCTTTTCCACTGTTAGTGGTGTAGGGTGTCTCGTCACCGTCCTGCTCTGCCTGCCACAGGCTCCCTCCTTTCTCTTTTGTCTCTCTGTGTTGAGCCAGTGTATTTCCTGTCTTCAAAGGGAGATTGAAACCATAGGAGAGCAGAAGAATAAATGTATTTTGCACTCAGATTTCTTCTTAACCTAAGCTGCTTATACTCAACCAAATTTCTAGGCCTCTGGTGGGAGTTGATTGGATTCGGCCTTCCAGATCTTTATTCAGTTGTGTCATAGGTAATGATCTTGTGTATTGTGTTATGTTGTATTTCTAGAACTCTATGGCTTTGATGTGCTCATAGATTCTACTCTGAAGCCATGGTTGTTGGAAGTAAATCTCTCTCCTTCTTTGGCCTGGTAAGTAGTCTGTTCCATCAACTAAAAAAGGACAAACCTTCAATGAGTAACACTAAAACACTTTTTTTTTTTTTGTCATTTCTCTTGGCACAAGACTTCTTGCCCTAGTTATTGGATAGAAATGACTAGAATTTCTAAATATGAGGGATTTGTGACACATGGTTGAAGTCCAGATGGCAACCATGAATCCTTATCTTATTAGTCAATTTGTGATCTATGTTTACTGTTTTCTTGACTTTCCAAAGGATGTTCCTTGTATACCTTTTTATTTCTAGTTCTCTCTTTCTCTCTTTCAACTATGTAGGTGTTCTGCTAAGGCTAAAGAAATGCATGAGGTATAATATTTCCTTTATTACTACAGGTTTATTAAAGACTTAAATCCACATATACTACAAAGGTATAGAGCTGGGTCTAGAGCAGTGGATATGATCTTTGGTCCTTGTATCATTCGTGTTCTGGTTTCCATCCAAGAGTAGACTCAAAAAAACTTCAAACTGTCTTAAAATTTTTGTAACCTACCTATTGTTTAGAAGAAGGAAGGAAACCTAGTTTTTAATACCGGAGAAGATTGTGCTTACATCTGCAGCAGTAGCCAGAGTTCCTATTAGCTCTACGCTTCTCCAAACAGCTAGGGAACCCTAGAGATTTATGCCAGAGACCACCCAGTGGCTGCATTTTTAAAGCTGAAAGATGTTGGCAAAATGCCCAGTAATCAAATAAAGACAGATAGATGACTTCGCGGGGTGGGAGCTTGGCTTAACCCCAATAGTAAGGTACAGAACTAGATATTACAGATGATTCAGATGTTGGGCTACTGTTTTGTTAACTCACCTCTTTGCAGATTGCCCAGCAAGGTGCATCACACAGTGTTAGAGACCCGCAGGATGATGCATTGGTCCAGCAGCCAAAGTAATCTGGTTTGTGGAGGAACACCTCAACACCAAACCAGCGTGGCAGTCACCACCACATGGAGGCTTCCAGCTTTTAGTTCATATTGTTTCTGTTTCCATGTGGGTTCCTGCTGCATCACCTGGTGATGTTTTGGTACAACTTGTGTTTTTCTGCCCTCATTTACAAGCCTACAGGCTTGAAAAGATTGATTTAGAACAGAAAATGAAGGCTTAAAACAAAAGTACAAAGATTACTAGACTTTCTTCTCTTGCTTGTGAATGTGATTTGACCATTGCAGCAGTAAAAAATAATTTGAATGATGGGCATACTCATAAAAGAACATATTAAAAGTCTAAACCTCTGAAATCCACGTTGAAAATGAAGCGGTATTCTTGATGTACACGATTTGAATTACCCAAGACCTTCTGGGATAAAAAGATTCCCATGTCAGGGAATCAGCTTTGCTGCTGGGCCTGCCTTACAGGGGGTGAGTTTAACAGTGGGATTTTATTTCTAGTATTTTTGCCCAGGTTTCATTTTCTTTTTCCATGGATTTGATGTGCTTTTTGTATTGCTGCTCATTGACATTTGGAAACTCGGCTATATTGGGGCCCATTAGAGTCAGCTGTTCTGTTCATCTGTAACATTATCGACTGCCCTTTCTTTCTCTGTTCTATTAGTGATGCACCTCTGGACCTAAAGATTAAAGCCAGTATGATTTCAGATATGTTCACTGTTGTAGGTGAGTAGTAGTGCTTTCTGAAGACTCACATAAATGTTAACCAGAGCATCCATTTTTTTGTCAAGCCTCCTAGGTGTTACTAACTGGCAGTTCCTAAGCCACGCTGAATGTTTTGTACTAAAAAATTGTATTTTCAGGCAAGTGTTTCTATGTTCCTGCTCCCCCTGGCTCCATCCTGTCCTGAGGCTGAACCACAACTAGGGCTGAGACCTAATTCCTGCGAAACAGGAATTATGGGCCGAGGAAGAGAATAAAGCAAAGGTCTGGAGAAAGTCTATTTTCCTCTGAGCTGGGGGAGTGCAACTCACTGAAGAAGCTTTGTTACAAAGGAGACTGGCTATGTTTCCCCTCGATGCTCTCTGCTGGTGTCCACATGATCCCTTCTGTAGTACTTACAACTAAAGGCAGCCCAGGGAAGAAATCCCCTTTTGAGTAGATAAGCCAAAACTTTGAAATGGAGATGGGCTGTCAGGTGGGTATATTGTGGGGTGGTGGTGGTTTTTTAAGTGCTCTACAAAGGTCTGACAAAATACACATCTGAAATGAACTCATACTTGGTGTACCAGCAAATGCAGTAAACTTTAGCTACTCTAGACTCCTTGCATGGGAATCTGCTTCTTTTTAGGAGGTGAAATGAGCTCATACCTAATTTCTTAAGCCTATCACGGATAACCTAAGAAGCCCACTTTGGAAAGGTGCCAGTAGACCACCTTCGGCAGTTCCAGAAGTAGATCTTGTAATAGGACAGGAATCCTCACTTGCTTCTGGATTCTCCCAGTAAAAACAACAGTATTTTCCAGTTACCCTCTAGGAAGCTACTCTAAAATAATTTGTTTTTATAAGCAACTGTGTGTTTTTAAATGGTGGTTTGCACTTTTACTCTGAATCGCCTTTTCAATCAGATTCAGCTCCCCAACAAGGAAGGTTGATTTATCTGCATATTTTCCATTCTTGTGCTGTCCAGTTTTGGTGGTGTGAAGTTCAAGTGGAGTGTGTGTATGAGAGAGCCATGCCTGTTCCTCCTGAGGATGGATCTCTGTAATTATGACAGTGAAACTGAGTTTGTATATCTAAAGAAAAGGTGCAGCTACACATGCTAATTTCTTAGAAAATGGCAGGTTTTAATGTTTCCCATTCCGCACTCAGGATTTGTGTGCCAGGATCCCACCCAGCGGGCATCAACCCGGCCAGTTTATCCCACCTTTGAGTCTTCCAGGCGAAACCCTTATCAGAAACCTCAGGTAAGCAAATTCAGCAGCAGGGAGCCCAACAGAGGCTTATTGGAAAGTGGTGGCTGAGGTAAATGAGTGAGCCGAAGCACTATGGGTATAAGGTCACTTAGAGCAGGAAATTTTGGGGATCATTCCAGACAGGAAGCAGTTAGATTCAGCTGTGGCTAATAGCGTATGCTTTTAAACCAACTTATTCTCTGCCTTTTGTTTTTCTTTTCTTTCGCCTTCTTTTTTCATTCTCTCTCCTTTTTTCTTTTTCTTTTTAAGGATCCCCTGCTTTTTTCATCCAGTTGATATGCTCATAAACAAGGTGAAGAGAGGGAGCCTACAAGTTCCTAGTCATTACTCTGCTACATTCTTTTTGATCTTCAGGCTAGCTTTGTAAAGGAGATGCTCAATTGAAATAACATCTTCTCTGCAAGTGACTCTCTTCAAAAGGAGCCTTAGTGTCATAAGGTGTTAATTGAGGTTAAATGAGATAAATGCCTACCAAATGCTGTGCCTGTCTTTCTGAAAATGTCACTTGATCGGGCATCACTCCAGGCTTTGTGTCCTCTGCATTTGTGTTTCAGTTGAACCAATCAGCTCATAGTTCTCTCTACTCATTCCATCATTGAATCCATCCCTGCCTGTCTAAACCTGGCTAGTTTCCCCACTTCTGTTCTTTGCCTTTAACATTCCTTCTTATCTAAAAGGTCTACCTGCCTCCTCTCTTCCCCTCTGGATTGATTACCTCGCCTGCTCCGAAGTTTGGAGATTGTTTCTTCTTCTTAAATCCATCCCACTCAGTCAAGACCTCTGTTTTTTATTGCAGTATTATTTACTTGTTCTCTATTGCATGGCATGGCATTCATCAGTTTGTTGCTTTTAAATTGTCCCATTCTCCTCTGTTAGATTATAAGCTCTTTGAAGGCAGAAAGAGCTGCTTCTTCCCCCTCCTCTCCTCTTTTCATCTCCCCTCCATTTGTTTTTTGTTTCTCCTCCCTTCTCCTCCTCCTCTTTTTTTTTTTTTTTTTCCTTCTGCTTGCTGGTCTCATTTCAAGTAGTGCAGTTTCTGTTTGCCAAGCTCGTGACTCTTACTAAACACTTCTGTTCCTAACTTTTCATTAGAACAAGGTGTGCACACTCAAATGCCGATAGGGGCTGCAGGCAGACGGTGTAAATGAATAAGAGGGCCAGATGTACAATATTGCTAAGAGGGGCACGACAGCCATAGACTGGAGTGTGTGCCCCAGCTGAGAAAGGGGCAGCTGTCTTACTGATGTGCTCCAGCCGATCATTGCCGTGCATGAGTGTGGGCCGCGTGTTGTCAGACCTTCCTACTGTCAAGAGAAATCAGAAATCTTATTTTAAAATATTGTCCAATGAAAGAAGAAACACTTTGCAGACCAAACATAGCATGTCTGAGTTAGATTCAGTCTGCAGGCTGCCTGCCTGTGACCGTCTGCTCTAGGATTATCCCTTGTTAGTATTAGAGTTGCGATGTGTGACAGGGCGTACTGGACTTTAAGGGGTACTGTCAACTTGGGTTCAGAGGGAAACCAGGCAACAAGGTTTAAAACAGTTGTTTTTAAGGTTTATTTTTGAGAGAGAGGCAGAGAGACAGAATGCGAGTGGGGAGGGACAGAGAGAGAGGGAGACACAGAATCTAAAGCAGGCTCCGTGCTCTGAGTTGTCAGCATAGAGACCAATGTGAGGCTCCAACTCATGAAACCATGAGATCATGACCTGAGCCGAAGTCGGGTGCTAAACCGACTGAGTCACCCAGACGCCCCAGGCAGCAAGGTTTTAAATCACAGACGTCATTTAAGTTTTATTAAGAAAAAGTAGATTTTTTTTCTTTAATTTTTAATAAAAAAAATAGAAGATTAACCGAGGTGTCCTTTGCAGACCGTCTCCTGCAGTATCAGTAGCAGAGCCACCGGGTTGTGTGTAATGGATTGTGAATGTTTCTGTGCAGCCTCGCAGAGTTTCTGCCTCATTTTTCTCCAGGCATGGTTCTATGTCAGTCTTGGATGAATTGACCCCCTTGCTTAGCTTGCCTCCCAGCTTTTGCTGACCACTCTGCAAATTGTGGAGAATCTATTCGCCATTTGTTTTACTAACTGGTAGGTCAGAGTGTGACTTCATCCATTAGCAGCCTGCAGGATGCTTATTTAAAAGGTGAAGAAACTGTGGATGCCTTATGTATACTCTAGAACCAGTTTGTCAGGTGGACTAGTTAACTTCAGGACGTGATGGTAGAATTGTGCTCTCGGTGCTGAAGAGATGAGTCTGGAGTAGATACCCTGGAAGAGAAAGTGTGGGAAACACAATAAATGCTCTGGTCTAACAAGCACGAAGCAGGGAGCTCTTGCTTTTGGTTCCTGCTTGGAGATTCTCTTCTTGTTTGTGAGATCATAGGCACAGGAGTTGGAAAACCTAGGTATGTTAGGAGAAGATAAGGCTTTATTCCATTTTTCTGTCTTTTATAGCATTCAGTGTCTGCACAGTTTCACTCCTCATATGCCAAACAGGTAAGTTCTGGATCCTTTGGAGACTTCATTCAGATTCTTATTACCAGTCCCCAAACGGAAAGCCTTTTAGCTTGGCACTTTCACAGTACATGTTCTATTCACCTGCTTTTTGAACTTCACTTAAAGATAGAATAAGTGCAAACGAATGCACAGAGGTCTTTCCAGATATAGAATACAAGAGTAGAGGCCGCAGGAATTTATGAATCCTCTTTTCCTGATAGCGATTGTGTTGTGATGGAGACAGTCAGGTTTAAATGATGAACAGAATATTCCAGAAAGGAAATATTGTTCATGAACACTCTTTTCTTCAGATGTCTTATGAAATGTACTGTTGTCAGTCGCTTAATACTGGAACCATTTTCACAATGGGTATTGGGCTACATTTGATTGTATTTTTTATATGTGGTGATTCATGGTTTTATTAATCTGAGAAACTCTGCCATAATCAGTGTCTGAGATGCTGCCTTTAAAAATAAAGACAAAATATTTTGTCTCCAACTCTAAATGAATAGCGTTTGCTCTCTTACTGTCATTGTTAGCGATATTGAGATTAACTCAAAGATTTTACAAAAACCTTTTTTTCTTTTAAACATCTTTTTGAAGTTGAGTAGCAGTGAGTGTGCCTCTCCCACTATTTGATGTTTTGAAATGAGGGTTGTAGATGTTTCATACATAAGTGCGCCACTTGCAACTAGTAGTTCTTCGACAAAAAGCTGCAGGATATTTATTTTGGCCTTTGTCCTCTCTGATGCAGTTTCTGGACAGCTTGGGAGCTTGATTTGTAACTTCCATAAGCTACTCTTTCTGACAAAGTGCTTTCCATGGTTTATATAAATCCAAGAAATGACAAAAAGACTTGATGGTTGTCTAGTGTTTGGTAACTGGTTAATAATGTGATTTCATAATACGAGTTTTGTGTTTAGTTGGTAGAATTTAAAACTTGGTAATGTTTAGTGTTTTGTGTTTAGCAAGTACCTAAGTGTGGTAGCTACTCTCCATGGCAAAAAAAACAGAAAACAAAACAAAACAAAGTCTGCAAAGCTGTTGACTTCAAAGAGCTTACATTCTAATACCTTTTAGGGATATCTAATCAACGTAAGGAGAACTTTAAAAATGGTTAATTCGTAGTCTTCTGAATTTGACTCCAAGTTTCTTTGGTATGTTAATTCTAATCGTAATTTCCCTTCACACATTTTAATTCTCTTGGAGCTAGCTCTTGCTTGAACTGTTGTAGGTTGCAATAGGCCTGAGGCCTCTTCCCTCAGGGTTGGGTGTTTGAACACTGCTCGCCTGACACAGAGCCTTTCTAGCTTCATTCAGCCTACCTTATACATGTTGAATTCTTTGACTCTTCTTGTCCTTTGCAATGTTCTATTTTGTCACTGTCTTTTCTGTGAACGAAGCACTCTCAGCTCCGCGGTATTTTGACAAAGCCAAGTTAAAAACGAACACAAGTTCCCTGCTCTAGCCATCTACACTTTGTCAAGTTTTCTTTTTCTGTTGCTGTCAGATTGCAAAGTCACAGTTCTTTGCCTGTTGTCTGACTATTCCTTTTTAATCCATTGTCTCTTTGTACATTTCTCCCTTCCTTGAATGCCTGTGGTTCAAATTTTCCATTCACCAGAAGCTACTTTTCACTGTTCCAGGGCAGATGGCATGGTTTTGTGGCATGGACTTTAGAGTCAGATAGACCCGGGTTAATACCAACTAGCTGTTAGACTTTGGGCAAGTTCCCTTATGTCTCTGAGCCTTACTACCCACATCTATCAAATGAGGATCATAATACATACATGGAGGTAGGGTGTGAAAGAAATGATAAAACATCAGTAAAATATTTGGGATAGTTCTGGACACATAGTTCCCTTCACACTTTTGAGTCCATTGATTTTCCTTTTACCCATTTGATAGGTAGTATCTAGTGTTATTTTGATACTCTTTTCTGTAGCCATACTTTTCACATTTGCTGTCATCCACAAATACAAATTAATTACTTTATTATCTATTTATTTATTCATCCTCCCAGACATCAGTGAAGTTTCTAAGTAGTGCTTAGTTAATACCCATTCTGAAAATCACTTTCTAACTTGATTCACTGCTGTTTATCCTACATTATATTTTTTAACTCTCTGCAGTTTTCATTGGTATATTTTATTCTTTATACCATGACACTAAGCCCAGATTAGAAATGTGATTTCGAATAAAAATTTTATGAAATTTGTACAAAGACTTTTGTAAAACCCAGGTATTAAATGTATTTGCTCTATTCCCCCGTTTTTGTAATTTTGTCCAAAAAAATAAACATTTTAAAGCATATTTTAAAATAAATAATAAAACAGTCTCCATACTTATTCTTCATGAGCCCATTAAACTCTAAATGTTTACGGATTTTTTCTTTTAATATTTGTTCCATTATTTTACTAGGGATTCAAGTTAGACTTCCCAGGCGGTAATCACCAGGAGCACACTTCTTACATTTTTGAAGATTGGTAACTC